CCTATACTCAAAAAAGGACACTGAATGTCTTGAATGTGGCAAGCATCAGAAATATGACTTGAGTCTGAACAAAGCAAGCAACAGCAGTATTTCTAACAGTAAATACTAAAATAGCATCAATAAAGCACAGTGTACTTCTTCTTCAAAAACATAAATAACATAAACACAAATAACATAAATGTCAATGTATGAACAGCAAATTAGGCTTTAAACCAAAATAAATTGTAGAGGCCTAGTAGCCAACTACCTATAATCTTTGTGTGAAAATGGTCATCCTCCCTAAACCACACATAAATCTGTCTTCTACTGTAAAACAGGGTACTTCCTGAATGTGGCAAACATCACAATGTGTCTGAACACAACAAACCACAGGTAGCAATGAACTACTAGTTTATACAGTGTAGTGTAATGTTTTATGATATCAAAAATGTTAACAGAAGCTCCTAATATTAAATCCAATTGTAAACTGAAATAAAGAGTATAGGCCTAGCCTACCCATTGTGTGGAAATGGTCAATACTCAAAAACAAAACATTCTAGTGCTGTAATCTACAAAAAGGTTTTCAAATAGCAGCACTGGACACAGGGCACTTCCTGAATGTGCCAAATATCACAAACATGGCTCACTGATCAACATTTGGGAATTTGTAGGTTCTACTGTAAGAACACCAGTTGATCCACATGTTCTGGCTTGAGAGCACTTCTCTTTGCAGTGACAACATCTCCTGCAGTGGAGAAAACTCGCTCTGCAGACACGCTTGTGCCTGGGATACACAAGTACCGCTTTGACAGCTGAGAGAGGAGGGGAAATGTGACCTCCTGGACACGCCACCAGTTTAAAGGATCCTCAGTTAGAGGGAGAGCTGGGGCTTTAAAGTATCTCTCCATTTCCTCTTCAGCCCTGGCATAGGGGGACTTTGGTTCTACTGTACATTCAGTGTCAGTGAAGGACTGTCCCAGCAAACTCACAAGCAGTGATGATGGGGCCTTTCTTTTGGGAGCAGAGGAGCTGTCCTCTGTGGGTCTCTCTTCTTCCAGAGTCCCCATTCCCCCAGGCGCTTCATCCACTTCTGTCCTCCTGAGTGTCCTCTCATTCTTGGTTTGAACAAAAGAACACAAAAAAGAAAATTGCATTAAACTAACAGTTAGCACTTATTCTGTCAAGCTCACATTTATTAGGATAATTTTTTTCTGTCTTATAAAAACTTTCACTCTTTGTAACTACTATTAATACTATTATGAGAATTTTAAGTTTGTTTTAATAAATTTTACATGAAACCTGGTAAAATTACCTCCAAAGATGCAGCCTCCTAGGTCACTCCTCTGTAGATCTCCAGTCTCTCCTCCTCTGTTAGAAAGGGCAGTCCCTTAAAACGGGGATCCAGGGCAGAGGCTGTATGAAGGATCTTCTTCTCTGCCTCACTGTTGTACCTCTTCAGGAGATCTGTCTTGATGGCATTATTGATCTCGTGGATCATGGGTGAGTCTCCGATGGTGTCTGTCATGTTCTGGAGAAGCTGTGCATGTATTGGAGCAATGAGAGACACTGTTGGGTTGCTCTCTTCTGACATCAGTGTGGTTGCATCCTTCATTGGCTTTAATGCACTCACAGCGTCCTCTGCATTTGACACATCTGTTTCATTGAGAGTGCAGAGGTCTGACTGTCCTCTCCTCACCTCTGGAGACAGCAAGGTGGCACAGATTGCAGGTTGTTGCTCCAAGAACCTCTCGACCATGTCATATGCACTGTTCCACCTTGTGGCAACATCAGTTAGCAGCTTATGATTTTTCAGGCCCAGACATTTCTGTTTCACTTTCAAAGTGTGGTTCGCTATAGTGCTGCGGTGGAAGAATGTTGTTATCCGTAGCACTCTGCCCAGAAGCCTGGAGAGCGTGGACACCTGAAGCGCCCTCTGGGACGCGAGATTCAGCGTATGGGCAAAGCATTTCACATGAGGGAATTTTCCGACTTGAGCTGCAACAATCATATTAGACGCGTTGTCTGTCACCAGCACTACATCTTTCTCTGACAGCTGCCATTCTTCCACAACATGAGACAGCAGCTCGGCCAGATGAGCACCTGTGTGAGACTAGTACACGGCTCTCGTTTGCAGCACGTGCGACAAAATCTGCCAGTCCTCGTTAACGTAATGCACCGTTACTGTTAAATAAGACTCAGTCGCAACAGACATCCAGGAATCACATGTTATGGCTACTCGACTAGCTTGGCTCATTGACGCCATTACCTGGCCTTTAGTTTCATTGTAGAGTGCAGGTATGACTTTGTCTGTGAAGTGGCTACGTGAAGGAAGCTTATACCGTGGCTCCAGCGTCTTCAACAGGTGGCGAAACCCGGAGTTTTCCACAACCGAATAAGGCCGTAGATCCTTAGCTATGAAAGCCACCACAGACTGGGTGATTCTTTTAGCTTTCTCAGCATTCGGCGGCAAAATTGACAGTTTTTCATCAATTCTTGGCTGAGCTGGATCCGGTCTTTCCTTCACGGTGGCAGGCGTTAGCTTCTCGGAGTGAAAACGGCTAACGTGATTCCTCAAGTTAGTTGTATTTCCAAGATATTTAATTTTTGTGTGACAAACTTTACACACAGCGTGCGTCTTGTCCAGTTCGTGCTTCCCGGTAATTTCATAAAATCCGAAATGTGCCCAGATGTCCGCTTTCAAAATACTAGGTGCGTTTTTTATTACTGGCTCTCGATGAGTTTCGTCTGCCTCCGCCATATTGCACTGATGTTGTTCTCCCACAATTCAATGCGATGTTACTATGACGACGTTATTTTGAAATCGACAACTTTATTAACCAGTCGCGACCGGAAAATCAAGCAGCAACGTGAGGATGCTATAATCGATTATGCTCAGTCAGTGCATCGATGCACAATCGTCCATATCCGCATCGCGATGCATCGTAGAAATGATTAATTTCAACACCCCTAATGTAGAGATGCCTCTTTTTTCCATTATAACCGATTCAAACAGAGGAATGTAATTATCATCTTTATTACACTGGTTGCATTCTAATTAAGCAAGTGACATATTGTCTCTTTACAGTGTATGGACCCGTCCCACACACATTTGAGGCCGAATACAAAGAGAAGGAGCTGCAGAGGATGTTGGACATGAGAATCAACCCAGTGGAGGGCTTCGCCGCCAAATGGGACTACGAAAACAACCAGTGGAAAAAGTAAAGGAGCCAGAGGACCATAATACATACTTGAAGACAAAGACAGACCAACTCAAAGATACAAGAATACTCATATTTCTGTATTTATCAGTTGTCCACATTACCTCAGTTTGTGCATTTTGGAAGACCTCTTCCTCTTAAGGTCATCATGTATTATAGGAGTAAGAATAAAATGGTTAAACTCATAAAATGTCTCAATTGTGTTGACTCCTGTTACTCCTATGTAAAAACGCTTTCACAGTTAATGACTGTTTCATATATAAAAATAGAAGGACTAGACTTCACCCTCACCATTTCTCATACAACAAACATCAGCCGCATCAGTAAATAACTGTCAGTGTAATTTTCATAGTTAAAGAGCTAGTGTGTCTTTATTTGTATGTCATCTTATGGGTTATTCGGTGACATGGGTCATAAAAAGTACTTAAAAATCTCTAAGTAGTTGGCCAGGGAGTGTGCACCCTACACATGTAGCTACTTGAAGGTGATCTTAAAAAAGTAGGTATATGGATAGTGTTTACTAAGCATAAGTCCAAGGGTGTAATTCCCACTCTGGACTGGGGGACATGTCCACCTCACTTCTGTAGTTTCAGGTTGATTTTCTAGCCATAAAGTTAATCAATATTTTTGTTTACATTTAGGCTTAACACTGCTCTAAAAATACTAAATGAAAAATGATGAAATCAGAAATACTTATTGATCCCTAAGGGGAAATTGTGATTTGTTACAGTAGCTCCAAATTGTAAGAAGTAAGAATAAGAGTATGAAATAGAAGTATGTAAATATAAAGCAATAAAATAAATTAGAAATGAAAATGTGCATTATGCTCCATTGTTTGACACTAAGATATTAAAAATATTTTAAAAATTATATTGTCACTGCTTAGGCTGTAAGTGAGAATTTCTAATACAAAATATATTTCAATAGAATAAAAGTAAACAGGAAATATGTACAGTTATGTGCATTGTATGTTGGATAATATATACATCCAAGAGGTGAATAACAGCATTTCTAGTTTTTAGGTTATACTACCATTTTATGGAAAGCACAAAAAACAATATCATTATAATATGGTATTTGCTCAGTTGATCTAAATTTTGTATTAATGTGGGGAATGCATAATTGTAAAACCAAACCACTGTACACGCAAAGAGCTGTTTTGCTTTAACAGCATAATTTCCTCTTGTTGACAGTAGGAGCAACAGTGTATTTTTCAGCGCGAGTGTCAATTTCCTGCATTCTGGTGATTTTTTAAAATTTATTCTGCACCAATTTGTTCATTGTCTGCATCAATTTATAGTCTAAATGTCTTTAATTATGTCCTCTGCTACCTTCATGTTTTTATTTCGGGGGTGGGGGGATGCAAATGCACATATTATATATTTAAGGGGACCTGTCCCCTGCTTCCCCCCTGAAATCTACGTCCATGAATAGAGGTAGAATTTGTAATTGGCAACTAATGAATGCATGAATCACATTGTTTTCTGTCAGTGACAAAATGTAAATGTCATGTCATTAAAAACAACTATAGAAAACAGTATGTGGGAGGTGTTGGTATGGGGGTAGTCCAAAAGGGATTCCGTTTTTGCCCATTGTATGGATCAACTACGTCATCTTCAAATTGTCTCCAAGTGGGTGTTGCAAAATAGCTACGTCATATAAAGGATTTATGGGTTCCTTATCATCTGCACATGTCTAAACCCAGACTGTATATGTCCATATAGTCTGCATGTATGAGGCTGAAGTTCATGTATGAGCTGCCGGCCACATGCTGTGATGTCACTTACCGGATGAACCCGCAGCTGCAGTTGTTTCACGTCAAAACAATCCGGAAGACGATACAGCATGACGGAACTGTTGTTGGAGCTGAGACGAGGTCAAGGCTGAATTAATAACATTACTGCTTTAGGCACGGTGCTGGATCTTAATAATGTTGTTGAGCAGGAGACAAACATAGCGACTGAAGCGAATATTGTCCTCTGTGTGTGGTGAGTCTGAAGAAACTCCGTCCAGCCTCGCGTCTTGGATTCAAAGTCCATGTTTAGATACCCCAGCACATCTAGATCTTAAAGTGTTAGCTCATCGCAGACTGCTCCAGAGTCACCATGGGCAATGGAATGAATAAGGTAGGCTTTCATTTTGTCTCATGTTCAGATGGTATGTTGTTGGCAGTGACTGTTTGATGGTAAAACTCTGCAAAGTGTACTCAACTCAACTCAAATTTATTTATACAGCACATTTAAAAACAGCCTCAGCTGACCAAAGTGCTGAACATGCTATGCAGTATAAATATATTCAGTGATTAATAAAAAATAAAAAAAACCCATAGGCCTATTAAAATAAACAATACAACATCATACAGTGAACAATAAAAAGATCATAAGAGCAAGATGTCATGCTTAATGAGGTTAACCTTCCACAGGTTAGGACCTGCCACTGAGAAGGCTCTATTGCCTTTACTTTTGAGCCTGGATCTCGGAACCTCCAGCAGTAATAGATCTGTAGACCTCAACGCTCTCATTGGGGTGTGAGGCTGTAAAAGCTCAGTCATATAAGATCCAGGAAAAGGACTGGAAGCTAGTGTGATGTGATCACGCTGTTTCTTTCCTGTTAACAGGCAGGCTCCTGCATTTTGAACCACCTGCAAATGGCGCAGTGATGACTGGTCGAGTCCAACATACAAAGAATTACAATAGTCTAGACGCGAAGAGATGAAAGCATGAATTGCTCTCTCAAAGTCATGTGGAGGGAGGTAGGCCTTCACCTTACTCAGGAGTCTCAATTGAAAGAAGCTTGTCTTAACAACTGAACTAATCTGTTTATCCAGTTTAAAGGCAGAATCAAAAATCACACCAAGGTTCTTCACAGCGTAGTGACAATAGGATGCTAGTGAACCAATGGCACTATTGTAGCTGTCTAAAAAAATTTGGATTGCCCAAATAGAATGAGTTCAGTTTTGTTTTTGTTCAGGTTAAGAAAGTTCAACTCCATCCATGATTGAACATCTTTAAGACAGTTCAGCAGAGCCTGAATAGAGGCCTCACTGTTTGTTTATATGGACAGATAGCTCTGTAGATCATCCGTAAAACAATGAAATGAGATGTTGTTGTGAAATTGACCCCAAAGTGTGCATATACAATGAGAATAAAATCAGGCCCAAGATGGAGCCTTGCGGTACCCAACAACTAAGTGGGGACGCACCTGAAGAATACTGGCCGAGATGGACAGAGAAACTTCTTTTTGATAGATAAGACTGGAACCATTTAAGAGTTGTACCTTTAATGCCTACACACGAGTTAAGACGTGGCAGGAGAATGCTGTGGTCGACCGTGTCAAAAGCAGCAGACAGATCCAAAAGGACCAGGACAGCAGAGTTGACAGAATCAACAGTTAAAAACAGGTCATTAAAAACTCTTAAAAGGGTGGTGTCTGTGCTATGTCGCGATTTAAAACCAGACTGGAATTTCTCAGAGATACCATTTAAGTCAATATGTGATTGCAGTTGCTCACAAACTACCTTTTCTAGGACCTTTTTAAAAAGGGAGCTTGGAGATGGGCCTGAAGTTGGACACTGAAGTCATTCAATCAATGTAATCAATCATGTCAATCATGTGACGTGTTCTGCTCTGTCTACATTATTGATACAGTCTATGGTCCACACTGATATAAATAAACTGAAGACTGCACTTTAGGTTACCTGCACTGTTCATATTTTTAAATGTTTTAACAATGTGTAAACAGCTAAAACAAGATATAGACTGCCTCTGGATTGAGATCTAATGACAGTTAAGCATTAGGTGGCTCAATTTCTTTTCTAAATTGTCATGAATTCATATGATTGTGTTGTGAATAATGCAGATGATTAAAGCTTTCTCCTGGGGATAAAGGGCTGCCATGTCTGTGTGACAAAACCAGCCCAACAGCTAATAAAACCCACCCAAAAACCAGGCCAATACCAAACTCAAAATATGCCCCTGCCAAACCATAAACACTGCTTTTAAAGGTCAACAACATTGCTATCATTTCTAAATGTATTTTAATATCAACAATTAAAATCACAACTGTCGTGTGCCAGAGTTAAACACAGCTTTTCCCTTAACAGTTCTTTTGCCTAGGTCCAAATATGACCTTGCATAATTTGATGCACTGTATTACCAGTATATTATATCATATGAAACACCTTATCATGTTCATTCATACAGTCATTTTCTGTAACCGCTTATCCACGGGGGAGCTGGAGCCTATCCCAGGTGACATTGGGCGGGAGGCGAGGTACACCCTGGACAGGTCACCAGACTATCGCAGGGCTGACACATAGAGACAGACAGCCATTCACACTCACATTCACACCTACGAGCAATTTAGACTCACCAGTTAACCTGCATGTCTTTGGACTGTGGGAGGAGGCTGGGCTGGAGCACCCAGAGAAAACCCACGCTGACACGAGGAGAACATGCAAACTAAGTACAGAGGGGTGCTGTGAGGTGACAATGCTATCCACTGCACCACCATGCCGCCACCTTATTATGTTGCTTCACTATATTTTAATCATAAACTTATAGTAAATACCAGCACATAAGCTATGTTCATACTGTTAGCATTTTTGTTTACCTTATTTCAACTGATACAACTTATCCTGTTGATTCACAACTTTCCAATAATACACTTGCAACATGTAGACTGGCCCTAAACCGAAAGGCTTGGTTTTACTCTCCTGCTCCCACCCTACTGATGGGCCCACAAGTAAGGCACTGACTGAATGCCAGGGCTGCTGTGGCTGACCCTGACCTCTGACCCTCTGATGAGGGGTTCATGCAATTTTGCCTCAAATTATGAAACAGCGACATAACCATTTACGTCACACATGATGGTGGACTGTTTATCACTATCATGCAAAATTACACTGATGTCCAGTATGTTAGTTAGACAGTAAAAAGGTGTGTTGTAGTACTTAAAGTCAGTCTTGAGACCGGTCTCGAGACCACTTTTTGAAGGTCTTTGTCTCATCTTGGACTTAAACATATTCTAAGGTCTTGTCTTGGTCTCAGACAAAAAAAGGACCTTGAATTTTATTTCAACACCAGTCAAGACCCCAACTGTGGGGATATCACTAAATTGCCTGTTGCAAAAAAAAAAAAAAGGAGAGCCGAATAAATGTGCCAGATTTAGCCATACGGGCTAATTTTCATCTGCAGTCCCTGGCAGGTTGATGGTGTAAGTGTATATAAGTAAAAGCAGTGCATTTTAATTTAGCTTTAAAATGAGTCTGCATCAGCAAATAAACTGGCCATCCGTATTTCCATCCTTAATTGCCACACCAATGTGTGGGATGAGTTAATCGTACATTTTATTACTGTGAATCCAGCAATTAATTATCCTCTGAAACCCAGTGCTTCATGGCACTAGTACCAAAGTACAGCAACACTCAGTGGCTGCTTGCCACTCATCACTTTGCCCTGATAATCGTGCATCACTGCTTCAGGCCTTGTATGGCTGCAGGGGATGATTTGCTGGTCTTTAAGCCTTAAATCCAATCTGGCTCAATCTGGGACATTCGTTCCTTTTCAAGTGGAGGTTTTGAAGCTGGACTGTAATGAATATCTAACCTGAACGCAATATGTCTGTGAATGCTGCTTCACAGGTCGTCGATGGGCTCTACCTTGGGAATATAAGAGGTAAGACAGACTTGATTTGATGTTTGTAGATTTGATACATGCAGTGTGGCAGGGTCGGGTCAGGCTTTCACTACTAGAGGCAGAATGCTACCATTATAGGCCATAACTGCATGAAGGAATGTGTGGTGTGGGGATTGATGCGCATCACTTAAACTTCAGTAGCCTATTTTTGAACATATTACTTTCTTTTATTGGCATTTATTCTTATTCTTCCAAATAATATGGACAAAAACATTACATTTTACCCATATTCAATGTTAATGGTTTTCAGTTTAAGTGCTGTCCCTTATATAGTTTAACACAAGCTTTTCATTTTGTAGCTTCAAGTCGTTTTACTGTCAAATTTAGATTTCAGAGTAAGAGATGCAAGTGCCTTGACAAAAGACAATTACGCTAGAGGGTGTTGCTTGCTTTACATTAAACAAGTAGACAGTCTCAAAGACTGTTAGCGTGTCACTCCCTGGCCTGAAACAACCCCTTCCCAGTTAATGTGGCATTTGCAGCTTTCTAACTTTAGCTGCTGCGATGATGGCTCCACATGATGGCACAAGCATAATGGCTAAATTTAGTTCAAGTGACAGGAACAAGTGACCACAAGCCTAACTGTACAGAATGATGTTGCAGGACTGTAAACAGCTAACAGACCTGCCTCTGCAGCAATGTACAGTACAGCTGGTCAGGTGTTGGTGTGTTTGGTCGGTATAATAAATCACTGACATGACTCGGGTGAGAGATATTTCTTTCTTCTCTTTGCCCCAGATGCAGAAAACAGAGAGAGTCTGTCTAAGAATGGCATCACCCACATCCTGTCGGTGTACAACAATGCAAAACCCGTGTTTGAGGTTCGTGGAAAATCCAGGTTGGCTGGGTCAAACTATATGTTCTTCCTGTGAACATTTTTACATGGAGATTTTGGTATGACTGTGCATGTCATAGTGTGATGTGTCCTGTCAGCCAGCTGGGGGTGGTGATGAGTTATGGTTGGAGCAAGAGAGGTTTGTGCCTGAGATGGACAGTTTCAATAATGAGTGTGTGTTTATGGACAGGAGATAATAATCTCAGAAACCATGTGAAGTTTCTTTAGCCACTTTCATCTGTTGTAATTACCAGACACTGATGACTCAAGTGTGAGATATATAATTCAGGGACAGTAGATGTGTCTTTCAACATTATGTTCTGAGACTGATATTTGTAGCAGTGGAAAGTAGTTTATTACAGAAGACTGATTAGTCAGTTTTTTGTGCCTGTCTTGAATAATGAGTTAAAGGTGTTGGAGAAAGACAGTTGATTGTTCAGATTTATTCCCAGATCATCAAATACCATCGCTTTGGGTTGGTAGTCAGACCGAACTGCCAACCCAAAGCGCCGGTATTTGACAACCTTGGAATGAGACTCAGTAATTACCTTTCTTTCTCCATAGTTATGTACAGCACCTTTAAGTAGATATTGCTAAGCCCCATAACAGAAATAATTATTTTACTGAGTGACTAGAAAAATACAGACCCACCTGTTAAGACTTAGAAGACCTAGAGCTCACAAGAGATAGGAGTGCCAGATGCTCACCTGCAAAACTGACCAGGGGCCTCATTACAGAAACATCCTATGCCTGAAATCTTATCTTTTTGGTATTACAGAAACATGTTTCCTAACTGTTTAAGTGCTACATCAGAGGCAACTGGGTAGAACAAACTGATAAGATTAGATTCACTTCGACACACTGGGCTTTAACAGTCAACTTTAGAACACTGGACACAGATTATTATCTTGAGGAACTGTTGGAGCTTTTGAACTTTACAAAGGCTTCAGGTCAGCACTGAAGAAGCCTCTTGGATGAAAGGTGACATGTCTTTAAGAAACTCAAGCAAGTCCAGTTGCCAGTGTTATAGCACTTAAGATCACAATGACCTGGATGACTGAGAATCTTCACCAACATGTTTCCTAACTGCATGTAGGAAAAAATTCTGTCTTATCTCAGGATAGGGATTTAGCTAATACAGATTTAGAGATTTCCCAAGTTAGGAATCCTAAATAAGGATAGCTAGAGTTTGTTCTTAATTCAAAATACCTACCAAATATGGCAGTAGCACTGTTGTTAGGTCTGTATGGCAGCGACAATGTAGATGGAGAAAACATGACCGCAACATAATGATGGAAAGGCTGCTGGAACTGTTTGATGATGCTTTAAATCTCCCCAACCTTGTATTAATGGGCATATATTGACTGCCAAGATGATTCATTTAGAATTTGATCGATGTGTTACATCCGGCTCTGGAGAGGCCGACAAGGAGGCACGGGGCTCTGCCAGTAGTTGTATAGCTCACAAAGGCATTTTTTTTTTTTGCCAGTTGGGTGATTTCCAGCCTACCGGGACTTTCTAATCAAAGATGCAGGCAGTCTAAACATAGATACCGGTATGACAGGATGAGTGGCAACAGATAAACTGACTCTACAGTTACAGTGAGGATTTCTTAAGTTAAGATAAGAGGTCTGAGACAGGATAGGACACAGCCATGAGTTTAGGAATTGCTTCTCCTGTGTTAACTTAAGATAGGATAAGCAGTATCTGTAATGAGGCCTCTGTGCCATAATTGCACCCATTAATAAGATTTATAGGTAACATCCAGATATGACATGCATGGCATATGTTCTTGAATTCTGTTTCAGCCGTTTTACAGTTTTCCATACATGTTTTACAGGACATGACATACCTTTGTATACATGCAGCTGATGCTTCCAGCCAGAACCTGTGAGTAAGAGCACAAACACACACACACACACACGCACCCAGACAATCAGATGTACTAATAGTGTTTATACGTCAGATTTTAAATGTCCCCGTCTGTGTGAATTTCTGAGACGCCGATGAGTCATGCACTATTGTTTCAACACTTCTACCCTCCTGATTGTGGCCCCAGGGTGTGACGCCCCAATGTAAACCGTTACAAAGATTACAATAACTATAATGACTTTAAACAGTTTATAAAAATTATATATGTCTGTCTTTAATCGTTCAATTCCTGTTGGTATTTTTTGGACATTTACTATCGGCTTGTTTAATTTTTACTACGAGTGCATGAATTTAGGCAGTGCAGTAGAGGACAAAGTGACCAGTTTAAAATTTGAAATTGAAATCATTGATCAGTTTATGTCATGATTTGAGGATATATTCAGAAAAGTAGACCCTGCAATATTAGATTAATTATAGTATGTTCATAACAATTAGGCACAACAGTAGTCTTTGTTCCCTGTGTTTGTGTATGTGCGTCTGTGTGTGTGTGTGTGTGTGTGTGTGTGTGTGAAAGAGAGAGAGACAAAGAGTGTGTTCAATGTGTCATTGTTGTTTAGGAGTCAGACTCGGTGTTGAAAGAGGCATGAGCTGTCCCTCCACCCTTGCAGCGGATGCATTAGTCACTGCATTACTGTTGATACCTTTGTAGAGTCTTTGACTTCATGCAACACTAGCTGCAGCAATTCTTGATTAAACACTTAACTCATGCTGAGGGCACAAAACACAAGCATCAATTATGGGTTGCAGCTTGAGCATATATGCAAAAGAGCAGTCTTGCACCCTCAGGACGTGACTAACTTTGCAGTCAATATTGGAGCTGGTGGGGGATAATGCCGTTGTTGCTGTAGTGGTGCCTTCCACTGGTTGGTCTGGGTGCCTGCACAGACAGGTGGGATCTTTGAAGGGGTTGCATAAATCTCGAGTGTACAACTTTATCCCTGTGAAGCTCCTTGCTGACACCATGTGCACTGGTGCTTTCTACACTATCTGTATATACAGTGGAGTCAGCAGAGACAAGGGCCATACAATGAAGGAATTGGCCATACTAAAATGGGGAGAAAGACAAGGAAAAAGTGGGGGGAATCATGACGATTAATAATAAATAATAAGGTTGTTGACAGATACCATTAGTAGAAAAAGACAGGACACACAGAGGCTGAACACTTGGTCCTTTGTGTCAAAGGGGTATACAATCCTACTAGTATGTCTCAATTCAAAACTCTTCATTCAAATGTCCTGTTTCAAAGGTCAGACCACTGCAATCAGAAAAAAAAATTCTTAAGCACAGGGCTGCTGATAGACGTAGAGTTTAAATGTGAATAAGTTAAAGGTTGGGGGTTTCTGACCTGAATTTGGAGACGTAATGCTGTTGGTTTCCATAAATCTGAGGCTGACTTTGAGTTTGGCAGTCATTGAGGTTGTTTGGGGTTTGAAGAGGAACTTAATTTCTACTTAACTTAGCAAAAAAAAAAAGAAAAAAAGAAAAAGAAAACAGAGCTTGGTAAAACGCAAGTTAATGAGACCTGAGGTTTAGTGTTTGGATGGATGTTGCTGATTGGGTTGGGTTGGAGGTGTCTGACCTCCACTGTCGCAATCAAGTGTCCTTCCCTCAGGCAGCAGAGGAAGGAAACCTTAGTGTGACATCTGGCTGTTGGCCTCGACCACCCAGAGCTTTAATAAACCCCCTCTGTCACAATCACTAGGCTGACTGACGGGAGTGGTGAGGCCAACTGACGCACCACAATGCTCACCACCAGCCAGGGAGCCCCTGTGGCCAGGTCTGATGGCCCCTCCCATGTGGAAGGTCCACAGCAGGCACTGTCTTTGTCACGAAGGTTCTGTTTTTGTTTTTTGTTTTTTTGGAGCAACTGTAGCAGTTTGAAGCTGTCTGAAAAACATTAAACTTCCTTAAAGCTCTTGTGTCTGTAATTTGGGATGGAAGTTGGGTTCATTTGTGTAGCTCAAAATCACTGTGACTGTCTCAATAGGCTGCATCAATTACACTATAAAAGAAAACGGAGAAGATAATTAAAATGACAGCCAACCTTAGACCCTTACTACCTCTCTCAGAACTTAAGTAGATAAAACGGAAATATGAAATCTTGGTCAGAGCCTCAGAAGCATCCATTTTTTATGATTTCCAGGCGAGCAGTATGTGACAGGTGTCCTAACAAAGGTTAAATGTCTGTAACAACCAGCTGGGACATGAAGGCCAACCTGGTCGCCATTGTCGTTGATGCTGTCGAGGCTTTTACAGAATTGATATCAGGTGAGGTGATCACTCACTGAATAAATACAAAATATATATTTTTAATTGCCTTAAACGTTGATTTATATAGTTGCTAGCATGCACTTGTATCTGTTTGTTGAGGGCCCGGGATTCCCCTCCATTTTTACATTCTCATGACAAGCCTGTTATGGTTTTAATGCACAGTGTGCACTGACCATGAAGGTGTTAACTCATTTGCATCAAGCTTTTCCAAAATGAGATGTGCATTTGTGCAAAGAGTCTGCATGCATACCATGGTGTACTGTGGTTAAAAATCAGATAGAACATTTTTTTGTTTGTTTTAAAAATGACTTCTTCAGAGTACCAATGTACCAAATGAAGTTTCTCCATATCATAGAATTGCACAAGCTCGTTTTGCATTTCTAATGTACGGTAGCTCAACAATTTGTTTCAGTTTCTTCTCTGAATTCAACTGGTTAAAACCTCAAGTCCTTGTCACAAGGTAATTTTCTGCATATTAAACAAGATGGCCGGAAGTCTCTGTGCTAGGAAGACAGAACAAAGTGCTGAGGGGACATCTTTTGAAGAAGAGTTTGGATCTCAGGAAGGAGGAAAAAAGAAAAGTTGCAGTCAATCTATTTTAGCCCCAGTCTGTTATTCTGTCTGCTATTGAGTAACCAGCATCTGCTCCTCTGGAGACGGCGCTATCAGCCATGCACTTCTTGACTATGCAAAATGCCATCGGTGTTTCCTGACAGTGAACACGTAGGATATTTGAGGAGTGGTTGCACCACATTGTGCTGCTTTGAGTTTATTTTTATTTTAGAAAAGTGTCACATTCTGAGGATGTGATCTTATACAGTGAGCTTTTTCTTTTGTGTGTGTGGCTCGAGGTAAATAGAAATTGTATTGTGAAAAAGAGATGTCTGGTTACTCTCTCTCTAAACTAGAATGTAGATCGAAAATGTGTTGGGTGTTCTTGGAAAACAGGGAGCAAGATAATAGGAAGACAATTTAGGCACTCCAGAATATATTCCAAAAATATATCAATGAGGTAGACGTGACCTCTAGCTCACCTGGAGCCCAATGCAGGCTGAGCCCTTGGCGGCGGCCTGGTTTTGAATCCAACTCGTGGTTCTTTGCCGTCCTCCCCTCTCTTTCCCCATTCCTGTGACTCTTCAGCTGCCCTTTTAATAAAGGCAATTAAAAAAAATCATTTCAAAAAGCCTTTATTGTGGCTAAACCATTTAAAGAGCCAGCATGTTTTGACTTCTGTACATCTTCGTCAGGGCTTTTAAAAACAGACAACAGATCCTTGTTGATTTATCTTTTCTTGTCTTCTGGAGTACCTTCCTGTTGATCCAGACTTTCTATTGTGTTCTTAATATTTCTTAGCTTTTAATTGGCTTGCATTTAAAAAAGAGGGTCTGACAAATTGGGCCAACAAAAGCTCAGTATGAGTAAGAACTTTATTTTGGAGGGCAGCAACATGTGAACCTGAATGGTCCGCCATAGTTCAGGAGGCTGTATTTTTGTTCCACTCGATCATTTGTAGACACAGAGTGAATGAATGCTGGGACCTGATGTAATTCTGCAGATAGACAAAAACCAACGACTGTTACTTCCCTTGTCTGTCCCTACTGTCTGTGCTCTGGTCTACCACAGACTCTCTGTTTGAGCAGACCTGACCTTTTTTCTCACATGACAAGTTGGAGTAGTTGAAAGCAGTTGAAAAATCAAAACCTCTCCATGCGCTCTAAACAAAAATCGATCAAAACTGCCTGCTCCATTCTGGGGTTTCTTACTATATTTTCAGTTTCTTCAGTCAAAATCAGAAAAGTATCATGAAATCATAGTTTCACCAACCTGTTCAAAACACAGAGTTGGGGCCTCGACGCAGGAGTTTCAGTTCAAGGTGTCCTTTCTCATATCCCATACTGCGTAACCTATTTTTAGCTTCACAACCCCTACACCACCTTAGCAAAAGCAAGCTCGTTTCCTGATTTAATGAGCCATGGTACTAATGTCATTTTTGATTCAAAGTGTTCGTTTCTATATTTTGTACCACAAACCACAAAAATGTGAGCTATGTATCAGTTTCTTTTTTTCCTTGTTTTTTCATTTTCAGATTACAGCACTTTAAAGAGTGCATCAGCTTCATCCATGAATGTCGCCTGAATGGTGGATCATGTCTTGTTCACTGGTAGGTTTTTATGTCTAAAGCTGTAACCGGCTCCTTCTGGAGGGGTCAAGATATGTTATGTTCTCTTTGGATGTAGGTTTGTAGTACACCTCAAAAGATAGACCCAAAATAAGCCTGAGAAAAAAACTGTTCAGTACCTGTTCTGTTATGTATCGTTATCAGTCAGGAATAAGGGTGTTGAACATGCAGTTGCTTTGTGACAATGACCAAGTCACGTGCTTTGCCGCAGCCTTGCAGGTGTGTCCCGCAGCACCACCATGGTGGTGGCTTACCTGATGACTGTCACCCATTACAACTGGGAGGAGTGTCTGTCCGCAATCAAGGCTGTCCGCTCCTTCGTCGGCCCAAACTATGGCTTCCAGCAGCAGCTGCAGGAGTACCAGAGGACACAAGTTGCAGAGGTAAACACATGAAGGAACACACAGACATGATGAATGCACGCCCACGGCACCTTTCAGAAGGCACCCAACCACCTTTCAGTTTGTAGTGATGCAACCTAAAGCCAAAAGGGATTTTAAGTTGTGATCTTTAAGAATTTATGTTTTAAAATTCTGTGTGGAGTTTGCATGTTCTCCTAGTGTCAGTGTGGGTTTTCTCCGGGGTCTCTGGCTTCCTCCCACAGTCAAAAGACACATAGGTCAGGTTAACTGGTGACTCTAATTACCCGTGGGTGTGAATGTGAGCGTGAATGGTTGTCTGGCTCTATGTGCCTGTGACAGTCTGGTGGCCTATCCAGGGTGTATCCCGCCTCTTGCCCAATGTCAGCCTCCCATGAACCTGTATCAGGATAAGTAGTTACAGAAAATGAAAATGAATGAATGTTTAAAAATGACAGATTTTATAATGTTTTCCTCACTGGCTTCCTTCTAGCAACAGCCATACGATGAATTCACATTCTGTACATGTCTTTGTGTCTTTTGTGCTGTTGTTGGTGATTGAAAGCCACTTAGACATGCACAGGAAGTTACACAATATGATTCATGCAACCATCACAGTGCACATGAAGTTGATTATTAACCTGTCAGCTGTTGATTGTAGCTCACTTGTTCATCTGAAAGTTGTAGAGGACTTTTTCATCCATGATTATTTCTGTGTATGTTTTTTAAATACATTATATATTATATAGGTAAACAACACATAGCAACACACAGCACATATCTGGGGGTCATGTAGTCATGGCTAAACCTCCCTCTAGCCACCAATTTAGACTTGCCACTAGCATGTTAACTGATTGCACCGAACAAGTACCATAACATATACACATATACTATACATACACACACCCACACACATCTCCACAAATGATGTTATACATAAAACAAGCAAACACATGCTGACACACACACAACCTCACAGTATTCACAGGGATAGTAATGATAGTAATGAAAGGGAAATTCATATAAACATATGATACATAATTCTTCATCAGCAAAACAATGTGGTCTCAACTAGGCCAAATCTGATCCACCAGGCACAGGCCCTTGTTTGGATATTTTTTTTATTCTCGCAGAGACTAATGAACAGCCATGGTTTGTTTCACAGTGCCTCACATAAACATAAACATAAACATATATGTGTAAAATTCATATTATTATTTGTTGTATGGAAAAACTCTCATAAATATTAATAATATTAATTTTAATTAACATTAAAACTCACGGCAAGTGGACTTAATTCTCCTCCTGTATAAATACAAAACATGTTACTTCTCACCTGTCTGATATAGGGCTGGGTATCGATTCAGATTTTCCAGATCGATTTGATTCGATTTTCAAGGACTCAGTTCGATTCAATTCACGATTCGATTCGATTCGATTCGATTTAATTCAGTTTAATATTGATTCAGTCAAGTATATTTCAATTATGTAACAAAATTTGCTTGGATATTAAGATATTTTCTGAGAAATAACGAAGTATATTTAACAAGGAACCCTCTGACCTGGTGCATTACTATTGAAAATACTGTTTACATTAAGAATTGACCCCAAAGCAGTACATTAGTAATCATGTACTTTTATTTAACATTACCTGACACATACAAAATAAATATTTTAAATTAAATCTAATCACAAGGCAGACAATTTAAATAAAGTGGCTACAAAAAATGTAAACAAAGGACATCCACAAGTTTGCTGCCTGTAACCGTCTTATAAAGCTTTTCCGCAATACACTACAGTGGTCGTGATGCACACATTGACTGTATCAGAAGAGAAACAATATACAGTCAGGTCCATAATTATTTGGACAATGATACAGTTGTCGTCATTTTGGCTCTGTACCCCACCACAATGGGTTTTAAATGAAACAATGAATACCTGCTTAAAGTGCAGACTCTCAGCTTTCATTTAAGGCTTTTTTCCAAAAATGTAGTATGAACCGTGTAGGAATTACAACCATTTCTTCACACAGTCCCCCAACTTTAAGGGCTCATAAGTATTTGGACAAACTAACATAATCATCAATTAAACAGTCAGTTTTAATACTTGGTTGCAAATCCTTTACAGTCAATGACTGCCTCAAGTGTTGGACACATAGGCATCATCAGATGCTGGGTTTCTTCCCTGGTGATGCTCTGCCAGCCCTTTACTGAAGCAGTCTGCACTTCCTGCTTGTGTTTTGGGTGTTTTGCCCTCAGTTTTGGCTTCAGCAAGAGAAACGCATGCTCAGTTGGATTCAGGTCAGATGATATGACTTGGCCATTGCAGAACATTCTACTTCTTTGCCTTAAAAATGTCTTTGGTTGCTTTTGCAGTATGCTTCAGGTCATTGTCCAACTGCACTGTGAAGCATCGTCCAATGAGTTTTGAAGCATTTGGTTGAATCTGAGCAGATAATGTAGCCCCAAACACTTTAGCTTTCATCCTGCTGCATACGGTTCATACTACATTTTTGAAAAAAGCCTTAAATGAAAGCTGAGAGTCTGCACTTTAAGCAGGTATTCATTGTTTCATTTAAAACCCATTGTGGTGGGGTACAGAGCCAAAATGATGACAAGTGTATCATTGTCCAAATAATTATGGACCTGACTGTACGTAGGTGAACTCTGCAGCAAAGTGAATCCTCTTCCTCAGAGAGGATCTTTGCCCCTGAGTTTGTTCCTGGCGGCAGAGCAGAGTGAACCGTCTTTCTTCTCAGAGGATCTTTGCCCCATGAGAGCAGGCACTAACAGCTCCATGTTTGCAGTGTAAACAACATTCACTGGCGATTTGACAGTCATTAGAAGCACATTATGACCCTTTGTAAAAGTTTCTGTGTGGTACTTGTGTTGTACATGAGCTAACGTTAGCGGCTAAGAAAGGACTGAGAGGCTGTCCAGTGTGTGTGTGTGTGTGTGTGTGTGTGTGTGTGTGTGTGTGTGTGTGTGTGTGTGTGTCTGAGGAGCGTCAGTACGTTAGCTTATTAGCCATAACGTTAGCCTTGCTGTTTGTCATTTTAATGTTATCGTCGGCAGCCCTGAATAGCTTGTAAAGCTTTAGCATAGTTAGTTTACACATTTGTTATCGGCCCATGTGTTTACTGCTACAGAAAATTAATAAATCTTGGGTTTATTTGCACAACGTCACCTCTCTGCCGTCTTTTATCACGCTTGCTAACGCTAAGTTAACTTTACCAGCAGATCTGTATGAGGCACAAACTGAGGCGACAGTTAGCAGTGTGCTGATGCTTAGTGGTATTTCTTAATCTTTTCTGTGAAACTGATGTGCATTTAATAAACATGCGTACATTATTAGCGTTATATTTTTAGGGGAAAATGCGAGTGAAAATACTCGCACCGTAGACCCATTCCTTCAGTGGACACGCTCCCACCATTGTTTGCTGCTCTGTCTTCATTCAGTGTCCGGCTGTCTTGCGAGATCTCTCGCCGTGATCTCAGATGCTAAATGCTGATCTCGCGAGATTATCTGGGTTGATAGTACTGCTGCTGCAGTCTGCCACCGGCTGTACAACACGTCCACGGAGGAAAATAAACAGTTATAGTAAAAGATCGATTTTTTAATTAATGAATCGATATTGTGCCATTTAAAGGAAAATCGATTCGAATCGATTAAATCGATTTTTTCAACCCAGCTCTAGTCTGATATGAGGGTTGTTTTAAGGGTTTTGAGCCGCACAGCTGTGTGGTGATCTTTACACTGAACGTCTTTTTATTTTACAGTGCATAATCCATGATTGCACAGTCTCGGTGGCAAAGACCTGACCTTTAATGCTCATAGTTGTCTATTTTCACTTTGGAGAATATCAGTCTAAACTGTCTGGTTTCATGTCCAGTCTGATTTGGGGCATTTTTTCATCCAGAGAAAATGTCAAACACTGTATCTTAGAATATATGACATATGTTTGTATTAGAAATACTGTCTCAAATCATTAGAAGACCACTTTGCTGTTTCTTTTTAACATTCTAGGGAGTGAGGTCATTGTTATTTGCATTTTACTTTTAGTCTTTGTCTCCAATGTGTTTTACCATTGGCAGGATGAATTATATATGAAAACACACTGTAGGTAGCTGTTCACAGCCTTTAACATTTTTGCAGCATTTCAGTTACTTGAAGGCACCAAGTGTGTGAATCCCATTAAAGCTGGACTGACCGAGCCATTGAGTAGAGAAGGGGAACTGCAGGGGGGTTTGCTGGGATTGCATTAGCTTGGTTTTGCTCATCACGTGTCTAGCATTACTGTCAGCATCTTGCAACATAACATGACTGAAAAAAAAATTGCTCATTGTTTGTAGATCTTGCACTGATTTCGAGGATTTAAGAGGAAATAGGATTTCTGTATTTGTGCTTTTCCCATATGTGCCTCAGATAGAAAGTGAGGAATCCTCAAGACAACACTGTAGTTACTAATGCAACTGTAACATTCACTGACACAGCATCACAGTAGCAACACATGTAAATAAATACAGTGAAGTGCACATCCTATAACTGATAATGCAAATTTAGTGAGAGAAAACTCGTTCAACTTTGAAGTCCGTGAACACCGTAATAGGCAAAAGCGTGGAAAGCTGTTATTACTGCTGCTTGCATTAAGTATATTGCATTGTATTTAATAAAATGTCTGATTATTTTTATTCTGTTAAAAGAATCAAAAAGTTTTGTTGTAAAGCAGTGACTCTATGAACCCGAGCCTCTCCACAATTAACTATTTCAAATCCACCTTTTGTCTTAACTTTAAGGGTCTGACTTCAGTTCTAACAAGACAAATTCTACTTTTGTTGCGTGATAGCGATACCACCTCCTTTTGATTTTGATGCATGTGACATCAAACTAGTATCAGTCAGTGGAAGACTTAAACACACCTTGTAGCTTCTAACATGATTCATTTTCTTTTTTAAGATGACACAATGACCTTTAGCAGAACGCTGCACCTGAAGTCTGTCTGATTATTGATATCTTATCTTTATACTGTGCTTTCATTCATCTGTTGATGCTATGAGTCAGTGCTGTACTCGTTTGGTTTTTGGGTTGAGGGTGAGAATACTAATTTTAGGAAGATGAATGTATTATGTCCAGAGTGACTTTCACTTCATCGTATTGCGTAAAGAATAAGGTATTGCAGCAAATTCCTGGACATCTTTTGAGAAATCTCAATTCCTTGCTCTTTTGACCCGCTGCTGTCACTACAACACTGAACATCTTTACTGGAAAGGAAGGCTGCAGCATCTAAGACAAGCTCAGTCTGCATTCAGTGTAGTGACAATAAATATCAAGATAATATTTACAGATAACTTAGCTTTACCTTTACACACAAATTATGATGCTATAATATCTCAAAAAGCCATTACTGCCTACTACCATACCACCTGTTGCAAGTGGTCTTGACTCATACATGAAGAGGCAAAATGGCACTTAAATCATTTAAACAGAAGGACTCTCTTATTTTTTGTGCTCTGCAGTTGAAACCATCTAAATTCAGAGTCCACATGGAGCAACTCTACATGTCAGTTAATAGACTTTAAGCATTTCGTACATGGTATTGAGGCTTTTGGACCGAGTATATACTCATAACTATTAGCCAGGTTTCTAATTTTACATTGCCAGACACCACAGTAACTCCATTGTTTTTAAAGTTGAGTCTCTCTTGAAATTGTAAGTCGTGTTCTAGGGAAATACTGAGTCTCAGGTGATTTTTGTGAGCAGGCATGTTGGCAGAGAGACAAGTGCTCCATTAGAAATGTCTCATCAAATCCAGTCTGTGCCGCCCTCTCCACCCATTACGTCACATTCCCATGCAAGCCATGTTTTTTCTACTCATCAGCTCCTTCCTGCAAAGAAGACAGTGAATACATGGAATATCATTTCATGACATACTTTGTCATATCATTCAGTTGAAACTATGAAATCAACTTTGCACCCCAGGTTGTAATAGAAAACGACACAGATCCAATGTGATGCAATAACCGGTTAACTCAAGACTTACGAAAGCAAGATATGTGACTTCATGGTAAACAGACCTAAGACACCAAGCCAGTATTACATTTAACAAGTGCAGTGTGCTTTCAATACATGCCTGCTAAGAACAGGCTCATTGCTTGACCTCCAGTACTGCTGTTTGCAGCTTTCTTGAGAACTGCTCTTCCAAACAACTCTACACTCGACACTGCTCTTCCTGGGGTCCTAAATTATTCACCTGCCATGACATAGTTGTGTTTCTTCGCAGTGCTAGAGTATACATATATGGCCTCAGTGAAGTTAAAGTGTGTTTATCAGAAAACAGAAGTGTTTATTCAAAAAGTTACATCATTGATGCTTGAATTGTTTGAGCTTTCTACAATGTAGCGTTTCCGGTCTGTCTTTCTTCACTTGTTTTTGAGTGTACTTGAGCTAATAATGGAGAGTAAGCTGTACCCAACATGCCTTTTAGCTGTGTATCAGTTAATAGGAGACCCCTCTCAACACACTGCACAGTATGTACTTCTGGTAGTTGTAGTGCACTACTCATAAATTTGTCTTGTAGATCTCAGGCGCTCGCACTCAACACCTCACTTCCTTGGGTCCTCAGCAAAACAACTGGCAAATGTGAAGCTGATTGGAAATACGGTTGTCAAGAATATATATGCAGAAATTGTTTGTTATAATAACGACATTTACTGAATTATGTTTTTTTGTCTGTCCTCTCGTCCCCAGTATCGAGCATGGTTACGTTCCAGTTTCCGTCCCAGTCCATTCAATGACCAGGAGCAGGTGGGTGCCCTGCTGAGCCAGTACACAGAGCAACAGGAGAGCCAGAGGAGAGGAGCAGACCAGCGCTGGATTAGTCACGGTGTAGGTGTCTGTGCTCTGCCGTCCGACCCTGATGATGCTGAGGGCAGCAGCTGAAACATGGGCCTCTGATCATGCTAACGTCCTGCCCAGTGCTGTCTGTAAATGGCAGTCACTATCTTTCTGTACTCAATTCCAAATCAACCCCAAGTTCTATCCAACTTTAAGGCCTTTGTACAACTCTGAAAACATAGGATAAAGTAACCCCCCCTTAAAAGCCAATCATATCTTTCATACTTAATTTGCACCTGTCTACTCATTGTTAATCACTGGAGGTTGATTTAGAATTGGGCTACAGACTCTAATCCACTACCAATACCTTCCTTGTTCCCTTAACTAAGTACAGCCACAACTGGGGTATCGGTGCTCACAGACGCCTTACTCTAAACACCTCAGCACCTTAGCCATGATGAATAAACAACACTTCTGTGTGGACTCTTTACACCTGCAATGTTCAGCTCAGTAGCCTTAAAGAAGAGACTGATTAATGCTGTCTTAAAGGAACATTTTGTCACTAATTATGTGGATGTGAAATCCAGAAATCTACAACCAATTTGATGCCAATTATTCTGAGCAGTTATTCTGACAAAGACCAATTTGCAGTCTCTTAATGGTATACTCTTTAAACACTGCAGATGGCGAAGTTGGCATGTTTGCCGAGCTGACAGTATAGAACTTAATATGTACATCCTGCTGAGAGCAAGCACCGCTTGCCTGTCAAATGTTAAAACACTATCGACATTGCACACACTAGTAAAATGCACAATACCCAAACAATAGACATGGTGTTGTCAGCAAATATGCTAGCCACTTACAGATATAATAGCAATAAATATATTAACAGTACACCCTGTTGGATGCTCTTCACTCAGTCCACTGGTACTTTTGGTTTCATATTTGAAGAAAATTCCAAGCTGTCAACACACTATATGTACCAGTGTCTGTAACAGAATCCAGCACCAACCATCTACAGAGGAATTTAGTCACTTGATATCAATTAATATTACTGGGTAATGGGAGAGGAAAAGCTGTTAGTCAGCTCTGTCATTTCCCAGCAACTCTGTCCCAGCCAACACACCTGTTGCTGAGTTATCTCTATAAACAGATATGAGTGTATGTATGTGGAATCTGTAGGCAACAGGACAACATTTTTGTATCAGAAGCAGTTTGTTTTCCATTTGTAGAGTAGTACTGACCAATCATGTTTGAGCTGCAGGTAAACAGTCAGTGTGAGGAGGTGGAACCTTTGAAATAGAATAAGAGTAGAACAGACATTCCCATTAAAATCAACTTAGCAGGATCATCAGAGAGGCCATTTTTATTTGTACTGTACGCTGTCATTGCAACCGTTGTAGCGAGCTAACTTCTGTATAACCGTATTTCTTTGTTGCCATTAATTGCATGTTTCTCGAAACATGATGTAGCTGCCTCTGAAGAATGAGTGACAGCAGGCAGCTGCTCTGCAGACAGCTGAGAGGCACAGAGAGACCACAGGGATAAAGAGTGTGTAGATCCAGCATATTTTCACACCTAACTTTGTGAATTAAGGGTTTATTTCAACCAAACCAGAGTTGGTGATTGCTGGAAAGGTAGACTAACTTACCTAAACTAAGACAGTTTTGTTGAATATTTTTTTTGTTTTTGTTAA